AGAGTGGGGGGGCTGGAAGGGGGAGATCCGCAGCCCAATGGGGCTCTCAGCCGACTGGTAGAACAGAAGGTTTATTAGTTCCCAGGGACACAGCCTAGCAAGGATCAATGTTAACACAGGGACCAAGAGCAGCCAGACTTATCCCCAGGGAGGGGTCTCGGGCCTTCTCCCCCCTTTCTGCCCTATGATCCTTCTCCTCCCCAGCCTGGTTCAGCCCTTTGTCCCTTTTCCTGGGCAGGAGTTGTCTCCTGACTGGCCCTCAGGTGTCTGGGCCCAACACCCATCTGCAGTGAGTCATGCCCAGCCTCTCCCTCCTTATGCAAAGAGTGCCGCAGTAGCCGGGGGAAACTGAGGTGTGTGCACACACAGACGTCACAATACAGCAAAGAGTGAATGTAACAACACCCCCACTACGTCACACAGCACACAGTCAGGGCCGGCTGGAAACCAGGTGCTGCGCCTGCAGGGGGAGCCGGCCGCCCTGGCCTGCTGCAGCCTTGCCCGACTGCCAGCCTGGCATGCCCAGTCTCCTTAGCAGCCCCTGGATTTCCCTGCTCACCACTGGTGGGTGCGCAGCTGGTGACGAAGGAGCTAGCCAGCATTCGAGCCCACCAGCAGTGTTCCCTCTAATGTTTTCCAAGCATGTGAGGAATAAATTTTATGGGCATCAAGACATGTGTGGATGTGTACCACCAATAGCAACACACGCTGCTGGCTGTGGGTGCTCTGCTCAGCAGCTGGAGGGCATCTGAATCTCTCCTGGGTGGCCACCCAAGCACACAGCTCACAGGGATCACTGCCCACCAGCACTGATGGGAGGGGAGAGACAGAAAATACAGGGTATTGTGCCCATTAAAAAAACCAGTAGGGACACTTGCAGAAGGGTTTAAATAGGGGACTGTACCTTTAAATACAGGGCAGCTGGTCACCTACCTGTAGCCAGCCCCCTGCCTCACCCCACAGGGACTGCGTCTTAGCACCAGGCGATGGGTCCCCCTATAAACACACCCAGGGCCCGCGCCAGGTGAGAGATCCCTGGGGACCCGCTCCCAGTGCTGTACTCACCGGTGAGGAGGAAGAGGGGGAAGGAGGCCCAGCCGAGGCCGAAGGACCAGCCAAAAGTGAGCTGGGATTGTTTCCTATACTCTGCACTTTCTGCCGTGAACACGGCCATGGCGATCATGGCGCAGAGCCCTAGGGCACAGAGAAGAGCATAGATCTCCGTTAGCACAGCCCATGCACAGCTCCCCCCCCCGCCCTTGCCCCTCCTGCCACCAGGGGGAGCTGCTAGAGCCCTGAGAAGGGTCCCTGGCTGGGAGGCTCCCCAGGGCTGGCTGGGGGTGCACAGTGTGGAGGCTGGGAGTAGTGGGGAGAGGCCCCATGTCCCTGGCTGGAGGGCTCCCCAGGGCTGGCTGGGGGTGCACAGTGTGGAGGCTGGGAGTAGTGGGGAGAGGCCCCATGGGTGCGGTACCTGCGCTGAAGCTGCCCACAGCAGAGACCAGGGTGAGGGGCACGGGGCCGAGGTGGGAGCGGAAGAACGAGGTGATGACAGCAATGCTGGAGACCCCCCCAGCGATCATGGCGAGGAACAGGAAAGCCCTGGTGGCGTCAACATAATCTGAGGAGCCAAGAGAGACCAGGGTTACATAGAGAATAACCTTGCAGCAAACTCCCATGGAAGCCAGGAGTCCTGGCTCCCAGTCCACTCTGCTCTGACCACTACACCTCTCTTCCTTCCCAGAAGCGGGGAAAGAACCCAGGAAGTCAGGGTTGTGCCCAGTGGAGCTGGTTGGTGGCAGCGGTGGGATCCCTGGCAGAGCCGCCTGCCCTTACCTGTCACTGCAGGATATTTTTCACAGATTGAATTGTGGCAAACCTTCCACA